ATGTTTCATGTATGGCAACAAAATAATAAATTTCAGACGATCATAGTTTATTTAATTTTTGTTACAGCAAAAAAATTTTTGCATCATTGTTTTCGGAAAAAATCTAGTTTTTCCTGATATATATAAACTAGTAGTACGCTTATTCTGCACGTAACAGGATGAGTGAACATGAGCGCAATAATGAAAGAGTTTACCCACACCTAGCACACTTACCGGTGTCACTGGTGTACACAATAATGTTATTTGTATGGGCAAATCGACCCATGAGTCGGGGCAAATAATGGTGAGTCGGTGACTCAAGTCGGTAGCGTCACGCGAACTTCGGGCCCAAGGCAGCGATGTCGTGAGTTCGGATCCTGGTCACTGCCACTGAATTTTATCAGTACAGTTCACCTTTGTACTGTACCGGCTCACCAATTGCTTTGCTGTAAACGATCCACGCACGGGCGAGGTTAAAAAGAGGCTTGACCAATCTCTTAAAAAAAACAAATCTCAGTCAACAACAATCATAACTTCTCGTCCATTAATTAACCAAAGTCATTGGTAATATACGTAACGTATTTCCTGTTTCCCTCTCTTCTCATAGCATTGTATTATTGCAGATACGTTAATCTAACTGTCACAAAGAGTTCCCACACTCTGGACTGTTCACCTTGACTACTTCCTTTACCACTTCCTACGTCGTGGACCTGTTTCCCTCTCTTCTCATAGCATTTTATTATTGCAGATACATTAATCTAACTGTCACAAAGGGTTCCCACACTCCGGACTCCTTGCCTCGACTACTCCCTTCACCACTTCCTACGTCGTGGACCTGTTTCCCTCCCTTCCCATAGCATTTTTAGAATTGCAGATACTGTACATTATTCTAATTATCACAAAGGGTTTCTACACTCCGGAATGCTCGCCTCAACTATTTCCTTCACCACTTCCTACGTCGTAGACCTGTTTCCCTCCCTTCCTATAGCATTTTAGAATTTCAAATAGATTAATAACTTTCACAAAGGGTTCCCACACTCCGGACTGTTCACCTTGACTACATCCTTCACTTAACTTCCTACGTCGTGGACCTACTTCCCTCCATTCCTACAGCATTTTAGAATTTCAAATAGATTAGTTTAACTTTAACAAAGGGTTCCCACACTCCGGACTGCTCACCTTGACTACATCCTTCACCGCTTCCTACGTCGTGGATCTGTTTCCCTCCCTTCCTATAGCATTTTAGTATTGCAGGTATATTAATCTAACTGTCACAAAGGGTTTCTACACTCCGGACTGCTCGCCTTGACTACTTCCTTTACCGCTTCCTACGTCGTGGACCTGTTTCCCTCCCTTCCTATAGCATTTCATTATGGCAGATACATTAATCTAACTGCCACAAAGGGTTCCCACACTCCGGAATGCTCGCCTTGACTACTTCCTTCACTTCTTCCTAAGTGTTGTGAACCTGTTTCCCTCCCTTCCCATAGCATTTTTAGAATTGCAGATACATTATTCTAATTGTCACAAAGGCTTCTGACACTCCGGACTGCTCACATTGACTACTTCCTTCACCACTTCCTACGTCGTGGACCTGTTTCCCTCCCTTCCGATAGCATTTTAGTATTGCAGGTATATTAATCTAACTGTCACAAAGGGTTTCTACTCTCCGGACTGCTCGCCTTGACTACTTCCATCACCGCTTCCTTCGTCGTGGACCTGTTTCCCTCCCTTCCCATAGCATTTTCGAATTGCAGTTACACTAATCTAACTGTCACAAAGGGTTTCTACACTCCAGAATGCTCACCTCGACTACTTCCATTACCACTTCCAACGTCGTGGACCTGTTTCCCTCCCTTCCTATAGCATTTTAGTATTGCATGTATATTAATCTAACTGTCACAAAGGGTTTCTACACTTCGGACTGCTCGCCTTGACTACTTCCATCACCGCTTCCTACGTCATGGACCTGTTTCCCTCCCTTCCCATAGAATTTTAGAATTGCAGTTACACTAATCTAACTGCCAGAAAGGGTTTCTACACTCCAGAATGCTCGCCTCGACTACTTCCATTACCACTTCCTACGTCGTGGACCTGTTTCCCTCCCTTCCTATAGGCTAGCATTTTAGTATTGCAGGTATATTAATCTAACTGTCACAAAGGGTTTCTACACTCCGGACTGCTCGCCTTGACTACTTCCATCACCGCTTCCGACGTCGTGGACCTGTTTCCTTCCCTTCCTATTGGAATTTAGAATTGCAGTTATATTAATCTAACTGCCACAAAGGGTTTCTACACTCCGGACTGCTCGCCTTGACTACTTCCTTTACCGCTTCTTACGTCGTGGACCTGTTTCCCTCCCTTCCTATAGCATTTTATTATGGTAGATACATTAATCTAACTGCCACAAAGGGTTCCCACACTCCAGAATGCTCGCCTTGACTACTTCCTTCACCACTTCCTAAGTGTCGTGAACCTGTTTCCCTCCCTTCCCATAGCATTTTTAGAATTGCAGATACATTATTCTAATTGTCACAAAGGCTTCCCACACTCCGGACTGCTCACTTTGACTACTTCCTTCACCACTTCCTACATCGTGGACCTGTTTCTCTCCCTTCCTATAGCATTTTTAGAATTGCAGATACATTATTCTAACTGTCATAAAGGCCCCCCACACTCCGCAGCGCTCGCCTAGACTACTTCCTTCACTATTTCCTTCACTACTTCCTACATCGTAGACCTCTTTCCCTATCTTTCCATAGCATTTAAGTAATACAGATACGTTAATTTAACAGTCATAAAGGGTTTCCGTACTCCTTTCTTTTCACTGCTCACCTTTCTGCTTTCTTTACTACTCTCTACGTCGGGGACCTGTTCCCCCCCCCCCCTTCGCATAGCATTTTAGTATAAAAATATACCAACATTTTTGAATATTTAATATTCAATGCCAACATTAAATTGAATAATGTAAAAAGCTGCTTTGTTCTAAATACATACATACCTATATACTTTTAATTAAAAGGCGAAATTGTAATACTGAACATAAACGGTATATAACTGCCGACTAATATTGTTAAGTTCAATTTATTATTATGAAAGTTGTGAGATTTAATTAGCTTAAATAACATTATTCTGAAAGCTGTGAAATTATAATGATATATATTCATAGACGCCAAACTGTTTACTCCATGAATGAAAGAGCTTAGAGTAAAAGTCGTTCTCTCTGTCTTAAGTAGACAACAAAATTGTTGGTCGCAAAACGTAAACAAATAAAAAGAAGAAGAAGGTAGCTCCTAATGTTATTCTTATGGGACAAATTTAAAAATGTTTTTTAAGTATTTTATAATTACTACTGAGCGGAATCGTCTAGAATTTTAATGGTGTCTTTACACTGGTGTCATAACTATTTGTGCAAAATTTGAACGCTATAAGTGCAACGGTTCTTGAGTTTTAGGTGCGAACACACACACACACATACTCCAGCGGACAACTTTTCTCCGACTCCGCTATACACGATACATAGATTCGTTCACTTCGTTCACTCATCTATTACTACAGGTTTCCATTAGTCACCTTATTTTGCATAATTTCCAAGAAATGAACTGAAATAGACTAAGTAAGTTAGGAAACCCTAAGATAAGCCTGTAAAAACATAATCTTTAACAGGCCAAAAAAAATTGGCTGGGCTTAGGCCTAGCATGTTCTTCTTTAAACAAAAAAAGAAACTCGAGTTCACTCAATCTTGTAGCTAACTGGCATATTTAACTTACCCATACGTAAGTTAGTAGGTAGGCCTAAGTTAATTGAGGGTACAAGACAAGTTTCAGAGAAAATTTTCAACGATAAGTTTATTTTACTTACCGATTCTGGCTACTATGACTTAGCCTAAGTTAGTAAAATTAGGCCATAAAAATCAAAACTCAAAGTAACTTACTTAATAGGCCTATGCTTAATTTATAATAGGCCCTAGCCTAATAGATTAGATATTTATATATTTTAGAACCCGTTTTATACTAATCTAAGTAATTGGTATTAAGATGCGGTTTGAATAGTTGAATTATAAAAACCCTGTTACATAATGTTTAATGTAGATAACTAACCTAGCCTAATTAAACAAATACTAAGGAATTAGTCAATAAAACTGAAATATTGTGGGTTGAATGTATTTCCCAAATGTGTTATATTTTTCTCGGTTTTTTCACATAAGTTAGGCCTAATGACTTGTCTTAAACAAGTAACTTAGGTACTTAGTCCCTATTTTGTTGACCCGGGTCAACAATATTAGTTAAATAGCAAAATAGGTAAATATTTTTAAATCCTTACCAAATTTTGCATACGTGTAGAATACATGTTGACATACCTTCATTCCCCGTTTCAAGTAAATATATACATTCTAAGTGGTTATTTTGCTAAATGTATTGAATTTGTTGACCCGGGTCAACAAAATATAAAATAAGCTAGGCTGTTTATGGCGGTTTTTTATATAATAAAATAGGTAAATATTTTTCAATCGTTACCAAATTTTACATAGCCTACATATAGAATACAAGTGGATAAACCTTGGTTCCAAGTTTTATGTATATAGTTTACTTCTAGGTACCTTTTTTTGGCGATTGACCCGGGTCAACAAAATAAAATTAGCTGTTTACGGCAGTTTTTTGCTAATAATATAGGCAAAAATTTTTTTCTTTACGAAATTTTACATACGTGTAGAATACATGTGGATATACCTTCGTTCCAAGTTTCATGGAAATATCTACATTCTAAGTGGTTATTTTGCTACATTGATTGACAGGGTATTGAATTTGCTGACCCTGGTCAACAAAATAGTCAGTCCCTGTTTCAGGGTGGCTATGGGAATGAGAAGTATGCAAGAGTTTTAATCAATAACAACATAATGCGATGGTGGGTTGCTGTGCTGGTGATTGGGTGAATGGGACACTCCTTGTCACACATTTTGGTAACAAATCACAATAATTCAAACTCACGAAAATAAAACTTAATCAATTAAATCCACTTACCGTCTATAGGTTCAACAAACCGGCTGTTAATTTCTACTTCAACTTCACCATCGTCACCACTTTCTAAATTACTTTTCAAACAAGAATGAATATCATGGATGTCATGCGGCAATCCCACATGATCATCCATTATAACTGCTTGTTTTATCAATGAAAAAAGAGAAATTTTACCAACAGATTGTTTACAAATTTCTTACATCACAAGAATTTATTCCAAACCAAACTTGTACACTCACACTGCAATCACACATACACATAAACAAAAAACAAATCTGGACTTTGACGTTTCATTGAAATGAACAGCTGCCAGTGCTGCCACAGAAATTTCGTATTCAAGTCATAGAGTATAAAATAGTATAGAATTCATCATAACACACTACACCACGGCCGCCTTTAACTAGGTGGCCGTGCTACCACACTACACAAATATATACTATAATATAAATATACTACGAAAATATTTCAAAGTAACAACTTTTAACGCATTTTTTTAGACCAAATTAATTTAGAATAGTTCAAATTTACCATATCATCAGCATTAACATTAGCAATTGAGATTGTATAGGGTTGCCACCTAGATGTATATTCCAAATATGAGTGAAGTATAAGTGTAGAATAATGTGAGATGATCTTTGTAGCTTTGTTACTGACTAAAATCAGCTGTTTAATTAGTCAGGATCAGTGGTGATTATATGACCTTGTTAAGGAGGGGGATGCCGGGGGGCTTGGTGGTGTCCTCCCCCGGTAAATTTTGGAATTTTTAAATCCGTTTGGTGACTTTCTAAACTTGACTTATTTCCTTTCGCTCCTTAGTGGGAGCATAGGGCATCGAGAAGAGCTCTCCATCCATCCCTGTTCTGCGCCAGATCCCTCAGCTGACCCTAGGGCAGGCCTTCTCGTCACTCAAGGCTTCCTTCATTATTGTTCTTCTCCAGGTGTCACAGGGTCTTCCCCTCTTTCTCGTCCCTTGGGGATTCCATTTTTGGGCCTTCTTTTCATTTTTCAATTGATCCATCCGTCTTCCGAAGTGTATGACCCAGCCACCTCCACTTCCGTCTTCTGATTTCCAGGCTAATATTTTGTTGCCCCGTTGCCTCCCAAAGCTGTCCATTATCATTTGATATAGTGTTTGGCTAGAACACTCTCATTATACGTCTGAGACACCTCACATTGTTCTTTGGGGTTTCTCTTAATACCTGTCCCAAAGTTTTGAAAGTATGGATTCATTTGTCGAAATAGGTTGGATAACTCTTGTAGCTATAAGATTTGGATAGCAATTTTCATTTTCTCTTTTTGAACAGCGTATATTATTTGCCTCTCCTGAATCATAAAATTAAACTTGACTGTAACTACTCGATCGTTGAATACATAAGCACTAATTCCTTCACTTATGTCTAATATTACTACTAAAATTCAGTAAAAAAACTTTGTATAAGTTTGTCCAAGGAATTGGCAACATAACCTAGAAATAAACAATCCATCCATTTGTGTTTTTTCCTCAATTAAAGTAGAGCACGTACCTAATACAAAGGTTTACAATAAAAACATAAGGTCCACCAAGATTTGGTATAATCTTACTACTTGAACTTATCATAGTCAAGGCATTATTATTGTTTGTACTAAATTTTTTGAGATCTGTCAGTGTCAGAAGTAAACATTTCTCGCATGCATTAATTTGATCTGACATTAGGCAACTTTATTTTACCATCGTGACAACACTATGTGCTTCGTATATTTTTTCACTTCCAAAGTAAGTTGCATAGCAGAACAAATATTATTCATCTCACCAAGTGAATGTGTATTTTATGGATGTGTATCTATTAAACCAGGCCTCTCTTTCTCTACTCTCCTTATACGCATAAGATACCTTATTATTAATTGTCTCCTCCTCCCGTTTTCAATAAAACTGATTAACTGTTTAACTTGGTCTTAACCTACTGAATATTAAAACATCAATATTTACTCCCAAAAAGCTAATGGGTTTCTTTTTATAAACAGCTGTTTTTGTTTTTAAATTTGTTCTATGTATTTGTTATGGGAAAACCCCAACCTTTGAGAGGGTCTCACGCCCTTAAGAGTAAACATTTTAAAGTTCTAAAACCTTATTGCAAAACTACGTATTGAGACGAATTTTCTTTTGACACCTTAAACGTTGAAATTGGTCCACAAATAAGGGAGGAGTTGCGTTAACAAAATACGGCTTCACGTATTATATATATAGATAGATATGTTTTCTGTGGTATTAGCTTCTGACATACAATTTTGTCAACTTGAAACAGAAAGAAAGAGGGCGACTCGACTTTGCTCCAGTTCATTAAATTGTTTGATGTATAAAAATTTGTATTACATTATAAAACTTTCCGGAGTAATGAGTTTCTAATCCATTAAAAAACTATACTTACATTATCCTCAGCTTTATTTCTGTTTATTTAATACTTTTGCCAATATAAACGAGCGATATATTTTATTTTTTATTATTTTTAATGCTTTTAATAATAATTATCATCACTAAATTTATCTTTTCGTTGGTTGTCGAGTCGTGTCGTTGTCAATAATGTCGTCTGATTCTGACTGATACTGATGTCAGATGTTACACTGAATCGGTCACAGGGATAATAATTAATTGTAACCGGGTACTACTTTCTCTAGGGCACCTATTTGTGTTGCCAGCTGAACCTAAAAACGTGTTGTATAGTGTTTGAAAGACTAATAATTTATATGCCTTATAGTGATTGTAGGAAAAAATATTATCCTACACTTTTTTGTAAATTTACTAACATTTTAAATTTGAGATTTGTTGAAGTGTATTTCATCAATATGTTGTATAAAAAGTGGAATAGCCTCAAAGGCTACTCTTAAAAAATAGCCTGGGAATAAAGATGGAATAGGCACAGACAATATATTTGTTCATTAAGTAAGTACTATACTATGACAAGTTCCAATGGGCGGAAAAACAATATTGTTTGGAGCAGATTGTAATCTGTTGCTCCAATCAAAAAAGATTCAAATAATATAGCCTAGCATGTTGTTATATATTGTAAAGGGAGCATCCATATAACGGTAAAACCTATTTTGATAGAAAATGTAATGTAAATCTCACCTTTAGAATAAATACCACCACATAAACTTACAATAATTATAGTTGTTAATCTTTTTTATGAAACAAATCTAGGGTTAAGTTTGTCAATGGGATTCCTTTACTTAACACTAATTTTGTTAAACCTTTCAAGAGGTTCATAATCTTAGACTTAATAACTGGATTGGGGTGCTAATTTAGCGGTTTTGACCAAGAACTAAGATTATCTCAACACACATATATATATTTGTCTTCTCATATTTGATGAAAAATATTCCAAATGATGAATGAGGGAAGCTTCTTTTATCATCATTAACCACAAGACCAAAGCTACTTTATCAAACCAGTATTTAAAAAAAAATCATATTATGTTTGCTGCAGGGTTCAATATTTGGAAAAATTCAAATCATTTTATTGAAAATAACATAAACGAAAGCAAACAAAGACAAACAACAAAACTTTTTTTACACAAAAAATAATGTGCACAGGGATATCTCTCCTGACAAACAGACAATTTGATTCCGAGTTTGTTTAATTTTGCAATAATTTGTTTTACTGAAGGACTTATGTCCCTACGTTCTTTTATCTATGCTACAAGCCACTAATTTGGTTTAACGACCACTTAAATTTTATTCTATATTAAGGTAATGAAGTGTTGTTTTAGCTAAAACCTCATACAAATATAAATATACATATATCAAAATTTGAACGACAGAATTACTTTTTTAGTGCAGTAGAAATAATCGAAAATATAGCTTAAGGTGGAACTAATTGCAACACAAATGATTCTTGCTGTGAATGGTAGGTAGTATGCTTCTAATCAACATACTAAAAATATACATCCGTACTGTGGCGCTAAATACGTTTTTTGGCCGCCATCTTAAAAAAGGGTCAAAATTTTAATATTCGTAAAAATAACTTTTTGGGTATTAAATTATAGGAAATTTAATGCTGGAAAATGTTATAATAGTGGATATAAGCACTATTTAGAAATACGATCGTAGTACAAAATACCCCTCGCCGCAGCAAACCTGCAGACTCAACAAATTTCCATTTGTCTTAATTGATTTTCAATTAAATCTAGTAATTCAGTTTTAAAAATCTTTTTACAACTAAATCTAGAGTTCTACTGGACCGATTTTATAACCTAATGGGTCTTTGGAAAGGAATTCGTGTAGATTTTCAAATAATTATTAAAGTTTGATTTTTTAAGATTTGCTAGGTGAAACCCGTCAACGTCAACAATTAGATTAGGTACTGTTGAGTTTGCAAGTAAGATCTTTTTAACTATAAATCGATGATAGATAACTCCATTTTTTAACAATTTGGGTCGTTTATAATTTAGCAGTGTGCTTTAGGTACGTCCAATCTCAATAATCAATAATTCCAATGGAATCTGGTATTTCACTGAAGATTTTTAGATAAAAACATAAAGGATTAAGGAACGCGGCAGCGTTCCGCCCCGCCAAGTCCCCCAGCGGTACACAGCTGCTGCAGTGTATATATACTTGACGTGACAAAGTGGCTTTTTCACTCGTCTATAGCTCTGAAGAAACAAAAGCTATTAAAATAATTGTTCATCTATTGGATAGGGGCACTCATCCTCAACAAAATAAAAAAAAGAATTTAAAAAACTGTTGTGTTTGAGCCAAGAAAAACTAGTTTGAAAATTCACAAATTTTCCGTGTTCTCCTTCTCCTCCTTCTCCTTCTCCTTGAATGTTGACGGACCTACAGCCCAAACCACTGGCTCAATTTTAATGTTCTTTATGTTGTTTGAAAGCCCTTAACGTGTAGATGTGCCTTTTGAGGGTCTCAAGTCGGTGAGTTGAACCATAAACCCTTGGCAAGCCCTCAAAGTACGATTTTGGCCCATTTAAATAACATGGGATTAAAATCAAAACAAAAGAAGGACCAGCTGCGATTAAATCTCAATTAATTTAAATGTTAGAGAAATTCATAGGAACAGCTGAAAAATTATTTTAAAACTTTCATAAAGTATTTTTTCAGGTATACCGAATGATTTGAACTACTTACTATATAAAATTACTTAGAGCAGTGATATTCCCCGATACTTTCCATTGAAAAATGCAGTGTACCGATGGTACACTGGTACAGCAGTTCGTCATTTTTAACAGTTTAATACTACTTATCAAAACATATGAAACCTAGTAACTTGA